GGAACGTTCCTCTGGCTCTATGGAACGTTCCTCTGGCTCTATGGAACGTTCCTCTGGCTCTATGGAACGTTCCTCTGGCTCTATGGAACGTTCCTCTGGCTCTATGGAACGTTCCTCTAGCTCTATGGAACGTTCCTCTGGCTCTATGGAACATTCCTACAGAACCTAGATGATATCTGACCCGCCTCTGGGAACCAGTCTAGAACTTCCATATCATATCATAAACAGGATATCTGTTTCCTTTCAGAAGCGCTAACAGAACCGACTGGTCCAATAAGGAACCCACATCCAGGGTCCATGAACAGAACGGCTCCCATTGTAGCTGCTTCTAGCAGGATAGCTCTGGATTAGGAGTCAGAACCGGACGGATGAATTGTTGGGAATGAGTTCATCAGAACCGGTTCTTCATCAGAGGCTCCTCAATGTTAGCAAAGAGGAATCCAAACCCTGAGAGGGAGACAGAACCCAGCTGCAGGTTCTGATCCGTTCCTCCTGGTCCAGAATGAAGCTCAGCATCAGAGGTGCTTCTATCTGATCAGGTTCTACATCTCTGAGGAAGACTTCTGGATCTTCATCAAAGACGACGACCCAAACATTCTACAGAACTAGTCCGGCTGCAGCAGCAGCGGAACTTTCCGGGTTCCTACCAGACTCCGATCTTCTGGCCCGCCTCAGGCTCCAGGTAGAAGTTGTGTGTGTGGTTCAGTCCCTGATCCAGCGGTCGCTTCAGGTCGATGAAGTACGGCATCTTCACTGGGACAGAAAACACACACCGGTCACATGACTGCTCCTCATTGGTCAGTTTGATTGATGGAAATATGGAAGCGCGGTTTGGACAGGAAGTTAGAAAATAAAAGCCTGAATATTCAGATAAATTCTGCTCAGCTGAGGCAGAACCAATCACAGGATAGAGTGACATCACTCTGAGAGGAGCCAATAGAGACACAGAACCCGTTTCTAATTGGGACGCAGCCAATCAGAGCTCTGACCCGGAACCGCGGGTCCGACTGAAACTTACCAAAGTTGAGGAAGACCAGCTTGGCCTGGATGGAGGGGAAGAGCTTGATGATGAAGGGGATGGCGACGTAGACCAGCAGCAGCAGCATCATCATCCTCTTCATCTTCCCCAGCAGACCCGACCTGAGAACAAACAGCCGGGTCAGACGGTTCTGGTAGACCTGGTGACACCGGAACCGACCAGGTCTGAGCGCGCTCACGGTTCTGGAAAGCCTCAGTAGATCAGGACCTTCTGAACTCTGACCTGTTCCTTCGGACCGAACCATTAGAGCCGAGCAGGGGGGGGGGTTACCATCAGGCAATACTAGACAGTTACCTAGGGGCCCCGAGTTCCTGGGGGCCCCGAGTTCCTGGGGGGCCCATAAAACTCTGTTTCCATGTTTGGTTAATAAAACTATTCCTTATTTGTTCACATTAATTATATTTTTGATCAAAGCTTCTAGAACCGTATGTCTAGCTGCTTTATATCTACTTAAATGAGTTTCTAATCTAACAGTTTATTTTCTTCCTCCTTTAATTAGATTAGATTGAACTTTATTGTCGTTACACAGGTTCAGGTTCAAGGCAGTGAAATGCAGTTTAGGTCTAACCAGCAGTGCAGGATAAATAATGGTTCTATAAATACGGGACATGGTTCTACTGAATGAATATAGAGATGAATAATATTATAAATAATTAATATAATATATAGATCACTAGTGTTATGAACTAAATTTACAGCTGGATGTGAAGTAAATATAATATACAGGTGGATGTTACTATAAAAAAGGTTTTTACAGTTATGTACAATAGCATCATATTTTTGCTCCTCAGTCTAGATCTTAATTCTTTAGATTCTCCAATGCAGCTGAACCCATAAACCCAATCCACTCTAATCTGTTCTACTCTACTTCTATCCTATCCTAATGTAATCTATTCTACTCTATTTCTATTCTCGTTCTCTTCTTGCTGAGTAAGAGGAGCCGGCCCGGCCCGGCCCGGTAACCCGACCCGCTGAGCAGCTGAATTAGTCATGTGTTCTCCTCAGTGCGGCAGAACCGGTTCCACTGCTGACAGAACAATGAGGAGGATAAACGGACCCGTCCCAGCAGGCTGGTTCTGATTCTGCTGGGCTGGAAGCTGCTGGACCACAGGTTAACGGGTCTGAAACCCGGTCCAGAACCTGCTGATAGACTCATGGTTCTGAGTCTGCAGTGTGCTCTACAGCAGCTAAACAGAACCATCAGGTCCGGATTCTTCAGAACCACCCAGAGTGATTCCTGTGTTGGATCCGACTGGACCGGGTCCTGGAGGTTCTCCAGAACCAGGAGACAGGCTACAATATGATGGAGGACCTGGTTCGATCCAAAAGATTCTGACTATTTAACTGGGTCAGAACCACCATCAGCTGAACCTTCTGGGCTCAAAGAATCAGAACCAGAACTGGGTCGCTGTGACCCGTTTAAACTCTGATCAGTGGTTCTGATGGGAACCAAACTGGGCCGGGTCTCTCCCCAGAATCCAGGGTTCTGATCTTCTCGTCTGGGCTCTGATTGGTCCTTTAAGTGGGCGGAGCCAGGATCCAGAACCAGCAGTAAAGCCTGGTTCTGGATCATTGTAATGAAGTCCTGATCTGGACCTCTTCAGAACCAAAGCCTGAACATCAGAGGTCAAAGATCGGGTAGTGACAGACCCCAACCAGGAAGTGATGCGACTCTGAAAGGAAGTGATGCCACTCTGGCAGGAAGTGATGCGTCAGTAAGGAAATTATGTGCTGACAGGAAATGATGCAGCTGACAGGAAATGATGCAGCGGACAGGAAATGACGCAGCGGACAGGAAATCAGTGACCCGTTCAGCTCGGTCTGCGGCCAACTCAGAACAACGAGCTGCATTCTGGGTCACGTGACCTGATCTGAGACGCTGAGTCAGAGTCCAGACTTCTGCTTTCAGTTCTGGTTCTGACCCGACACCCGTGACCTCCTGCTCTGCTCTGAGGTCACTTCCTGTCAGGGTGAGGTCAGCGGATCTGCTCTCGGTTCCTCTGCCCAGTCACTATATTTGGAACCAGGTTTTAAGGAGGTGAGAGGATCAGGAAGAGGAACCGGGTCGGGTCATTCCAGGGTCGGTCAAACCTCAGCGGATCAGACAGAGGAGGATTAACTTCTCTGATCTCCTGCTGATCCACTTACCTCACTCACAGACCCGTTTGGACAGAACCAGCCGCTGGTCTCATGGTAAACCGGCTCAGGGATGAAGACCTGTTCCAGATCTTCAAACTCTGCAGATGTTCTGATCCAGAATCCAACCAATCAGGGTCCAAACCGCTGTCTGACCTTCCAGCAGCAGAACCAAGCTGTGTTCTCCTTCAGAGCCCAGATGTTCCAGCAGAACCTCAGAGATCAGGAGGACACCTCCTCCAGACATCAGGCCTGGTCCTACTGGACCTCCAGAACAAGCCTGACCAGAAGCTTCCGGTTCCACCGGCTCCTGCTGGTGGCACCGGTCGGACCGGTCGGTCCAGATCAGTCCTCTGAGGTTCTGCTCCAGAACTTCACCTTTAACCTTCATCACATCAACATCATCATCATCAGTTTGACTGGAGCAGAAAAGCTCCAGCACACCTGTCCTCCTCTTCCTCACCTTCTGAAGGCTCTCTTCCTCATCCTCGGGTCTTCCTCCAGGCCCTGTCCGCCGCCGGGCGCCGCTCTGCCGGGGCGCTGCTTCAGCTCCGGGTCGCTGTCCTTCTCCGCGCTCAGGGAGCTCCGCCTTCGCATCACTGAAGGCTCAAAAAGAAGCAGCTGTTAGCGGCAGGAAGGAGACCGAACCACCGCCGGTCCGCAGAGAGGAGACGGGCTGTGGCCGGAGCGGGAGCGCTGAGAGGCGGAGAGGATCGAGCTGAATCCCGCTGGAGCCGCACTGACATCCGCAGAGCGCAGCTGATCTGAAGCGAGGCTGCCGCAGCCAATCAGCAGGCAGGAAACCCAGCACGTGACCAGAGTGGCGCTGCCTTCACGGTCTCTTAGGAAACCTCGGAGCACCGGCTTCCAAAACAAACGCGGCGCTGCGTTCAGTGTAGTCCGGAAATTTTAGCGAAGATGTTTTAAACAGATTTATTAATATTATTATTATTTTTATCATTATTTACCTTTTGAAGGATATTATTTTAATAAAAACTGAAATAAACCGATATCTGACTTTATTATCCTAGCCAAATCATAATCACCTTTAACGTCATTACTCATGTAATATAATATATTATACAAACTATCACAATAAAATTAATGTGTTAATGGAGCAGAATAATAATGTATTTAGATGTTAGGAATATACACCTTGTTCTTCCTCTTCTTCTGTGACTATTTGAGTTGATGGAACAATTAATTTATTCATTGTGGGATCAGTAAAGTCAATCAATCAATCAATCAATCAATCAATCAATCAATCAATCAATCAATCTCCCTGTCTGATGATGAGGAAAGAGTGATGGAACATGTAATCTACATGTATTCATCACATTTCTATGGTAATTATATCATATATTTATTTAATGTCAAGATTTGACATAAAGACAGAACAACCAGTCAGTGTCTGTTGATGCTACAGTATTTTCAGTGTTTTCCATCCACTGACTGTGGAACAACTTCCTGCAGCCAAATGCTGCACAGTCTCTGTGGGAGAGGGGAGTACCAAGATGGCGGCAGGTGGCTTCAGTTTTAGCGACCCAGTAGAGCTCAAGCTGTTGATCAGTTCCGCCATTTAAAAAACAAAAAACATTTTAAACCCATTAAATCTGGACCTGTTGGTTCTGGTTCTGGTTCGGTCTGAGGCTGAAGAGATTTGATCTAAAAAAGAGCAAAAACTCCAGATTTCAGGATGAATCCAGTCTGCGGTGAACCGGAAGTACTAAGGCAGGTTAAACGGCTGCGCCGCGGAGTTAAACTGATGAAAAACAATCACATGATTAATTAATCCGATGATTAATCATCGGATTAATTAATCAACAATATTCAATCGTCTCACCCGGTAAACTGATCGGTTTGTTTCACCGCATCGCTGTCTGTTTGTCCCACTGCGGCTTCCGGAGTCATACGTCACTGGGTCACATGATCACAACAAACCATTTTACCGCGAAGCTGCTCCTCTGCCGCCGATCAGGCAGGATCCTCCGGCTTCTGACGGCTCCAGTTCGGCTCCAGTTCAGCTCCAGTTCAGCTCCAGTTCGGTCCGTCGCTGCTCCGTCAGGATGTTCTGTGAGAAAGCCATCGAGCTGATCCGGGAGCTGCACCGGATGACTGACGGACAGCTGCCCGCTTTTAACGTCAGTATTACAGCTGCTGGCAGCGCTGCTCCGGAGGCCAAACTCCGTTAACAAATTTCTACTTTTAGTGTTCGGCCGCTGATCTAAGCCTAAAGATGATATAAACTCAATGTTTTCAGACAATATTCCCTCTAATTGACCTTTCGGCTTAGGTCAACAGTTTAAGTTTTTTTTATTTTTATGTCAGTTTTAGAGCTAACGTGGTTCTGCAGCTGAAAAGCTCAAAACAGCAGCATGGAGCCGCTGAATCTTTCCGGTTCCGATGGTTCGGGTCCGGTTCTAAGGTTCTGTGTGTTTTCAGGAGGACGGTCTGAGGCAGGTTCTGCAGGAGATGGAGGCTCTATATGAGCAGAACCAGGCTGATGTGTAAGTTCAGACTGGAACTTCTGCAGGTTCTGTTCCTCTTCAAAGGTTCCTGGGAACCCAGCAGATGATAAACTTCACCCTGGTTAATGTTTTTAATTGAACTTTATTGATCTCACATTGGAGACATTCTCTCTGCATTTATCCCATCCCCTGTTGGAACAATGTGGGGTTAAGGTTCTGAACATTATTAGTTCTGATGGCATTTTAGTGAAATAATTTTTATTAAAAACATCATTAATGTGCACAAATAAGGAATAGTTGTATTAACCATACATGGAAATAGTTTTATGGGGCCCCCAGGAACTTGGGGCCCTATTGATCTCACATTAACCTGGTTGTGGTTCTGCTGGAGGTTTCTTCCTGTTCAAAGGGAGTTTTTCCTCTCCACTGTCGCTACAAGCATGCTTAGTGTGAGGGATTGCTGAAGAGTCAATGAGTCGATGCAATCAGCTGGTTTTCCTTAGATAGAAACTTTGAATCAATCTGACTGGATGATCTGGTGAATTGGAAAGTGACCTGAGATGACATGATGTGAATTGGAGCTATAGAAATAAACTGAATAGAATGGAAGACCTCTGCTCCTCTGGATTCTAAACATTTAGAAGAGGAACCGGAGTCGACGGAACCAGAATCGGGCCGTCTGCTGATTGGTTCTGATCTTTTCCAGGAATGAAGCGAAGACCGTGGGCCGCGCCGACCTCATCCCCTCCATCAAGCTGCGTCACAGCTGCCTGCTGAGGAACCAGCGCTGCATCGTGGCCTACCTGTAACTCCGCCCACAGTCATGTGACGCGCTCCGCCTGCAGACACGCGGCCTCTCGTGCTCACCTGTCTCCTGCTGTTTCCAGGTACGACCGGCTGCTGAGGATCAGAGCGCTGCGCTGGGAGTACGGCAGCGTGTTGCCCGCCAACGTACGCTTTCACATGTCTGCAGAGGAGGTCAGTGACCTCACTTCCTGTTTCAGGTTTCCCCCTGCTGACATGGACATGTGAGAACAGCTGTGTTGTGTTCAGGTGCAGTGGTTCGGTCAGTATAAAAAGTCTCTGGCCTCCTTCATGCGCTCCATCGGTGGAGAGGAAGGTCTGGACATCACGCAGGACATGAAGCCTCCAAAGAGCCTCTACATCCAGGTGAGTCATGTCCGTCTGACCTTTGACCTGCAGCCTGGCCCAGCCTGCTGACATCATCATGTGTGTCCAGGTGAGGTGCTTGAAGGATCATGGAGAGTTTGAGATTGATGATGGAACGGTGATCCTCCTGAAGAAGAACAGCCAGGTGAGAACCGGATGTTTTTTAGCCGTTAGCTTTCTGATGCTACAGTAATGCTAATGTTAGCATAGCATTATGTGCTAGTGAACAGTTTCTAAAGTAATCCAGACTTCAGCATCATAACACTGGTGTTCCATTAGCCGTTATAGAGACATTAATGCAATGCTAACATTAGCAATGTAGCGCTAATGTTATCCTTTAGCATACAGCTCCTGGAGTCTGATTAGCTGCTACTTCCTGTTCCGTCACCTTTCCTGGAGTCGACCATTAGAGCTGTATCCTGATGCTACTAGAATTTACCCTGGCCAGTGGGGAGACCAGAGCATTGCACAGGGTGGCTGTGGCCACCCCCACTCATGTCTGTTTATTCACTGGATTGCTGATTAGAAAAG